ATATTAAATATACTATTATATTATTTATTTTATATATATATATATCAAAACATATTTAAAACATTATTTATAATTTAAAGGTTTTATTTATTTTAAATAAATTTATTTAAAAAAATACTATTATCTAAAAACATTTTGGGGATTTGGGTCCCACGAGGAACCCATCCCCGTCGAGGATCGGGGATGGGGTTAATTTCAGAATCGAGGTCGAGGACGGGGAAGTTGATCCCCGCCTGGTTGCCATTCCTACACACCTTATAGTTTTATATATTTACTTAAACCTACCTTATAGTTTTCATTTGACTAAAACATCCCATATATTTTGCAACTTATTTACTTAATCAACGTTTCATTAAGAAGTGTTTGTTTTGCTATTAGGCCCATGATTTTTTATTCTAAAAATACCCTTAACACCTTTTTGTATAAAAAACAAAATTGACCAAATATAGCCAATAGAGTGATTGCCCATGTCTTATTAAGGGCAAAAGTGGTATTTTTATTTTTATTTTGTTTTAATTAAATTTATTTAAATGAACATTAGGGTTTATTTTCCACTGTCATCTAATGGAAGATTAATTAAATCCATTGCAAATTATAAATGGTGTTTTAGTAAAATGCTAAATATAAGGTAGATTTTAGTAAATCCTTAAAACTATAAAGGATATTTTATTATATGACCCTCTCTATTATTTAACTTTCTGGCGGGTCCCCACTAATACTCGTATAAGCAAACTCATGCATTACGAACGAGAAATGGAATATATATATATATATATATATGTCCTTCTCTGTTTGATTACATTTGTGCATGAATGCTCCATATTCTCTGGGTAGTTGAGTTTTCAACTACCGAAGAGGCGACTGGGACTTAGGTGCCCATGCTGAAGAGGCGACTGGACTTAGCTCGCCCATGCCGAAGAGGCGACTGGGACTTAGATGCCCATGCTAAAGAGGCAACTGGACTTAGCTCGCCCATGCCGAAGAGGTGACTGGGACTTAGGTGCCCATGCCGAAGAGGCGACTGGGACTTAGGTGCCCATGCCGAAGAGACGATTGGGACTTAGGTGCCCATGTCGAAGAGGCGATTAGGACTTAGCTTGCCCATGCCGAAGAGGCGACTGGGACTTAGGTGTCCATGCCGAAGAGGCAACTGGGACTTAGGTGCCCATGCCGAAGAGGCGACTAGGACTTAGCTCGCCCATGCCGAAGAGGCGACTGGGACTTAGGTGCCCATGCCGAAGAGGCGACTAGGACTTAGCTCACCCATGCCGAAGAGGCGACTAGGACTTAGCTCGCCCATGCCGAAGAGGTGACTGGGACTTAGGTGCCCATGCCGAAGAGGCGATTGGGACTTAGCTCGCCCATGTCGAAGAGGCGATTGGGACTCAGGTGCCCATGCCGAAGAGGCGACTGGGACTTAGGTGCCCAAGCCGAAGAAGTGACTGGGACTTAGGTGCCCAAGCCGAAGAAGCGACTGGGATTTAGCTCGCCCATGCGGAAGAGACGACTGAGACTTAGCTCGCCCATGCCAAAGAGGTGACTGGGACTTAGGTGCCCATGCCAAAGAGGCGATTGGGACTTAGGTGCCCATGCCGAAGAGGCAACTAGGACTTAGGTGCCCATGCTGAAGAGGCGATTGGGACTTAG